TTCTGAATGTTCCCAAAAGATGACAATTCACTGAAGTAGAATAATGTCATTCTGACCCAACTGTTCCTGTAGAAATATTTGGTATTTTCCCCATGATGGAAAAATCTTTGTGTGTTTTTTTTTTTTTAATAAGAGTAGCCAAGAACAATTCCACATCCTTTGATTGTTCTATAAACCTTCTCATAAATATGTACAAAAAGCAGCCGGCTATTTCCTTGGACCATTTTTACTTCTTTAAGTTTCTGTTTCAGTTTCTATATTACAATGCTCCTGCGTACTTACGGTTGGCCGCCTACAGGACTCTTAGGTCCCCAGATTCCGCGTGCACACGCCTTACTCTGCGGCACGTCCTAGCTGTTATTCCCCGTGTTCGGGTCCCTGTTCGGGCGCCACTTGTCGGAGCCAGCCGACAAAGTAATCGAGGGTACCTGATAGGGGGAGCATGGACTGAGGAAAAGAAAGAAGACGGACAGAATTGCAGGAGGGATCACAGAATCAAGCTGTGTCTGTGTCCCCGAGTTTATTTAGAACACACTATTTATAACATTACAATAAGAAAGACAGTAGTCAAGAACCAAGGTTAGCCAGATTACTTATCTAGTAGAACAATGAGATTCTCACAACTCAGAACTCTCTGCTAAACTGTTGCAAGGAATGTGCAGTGACTGCTATGTGAACAGTTACCTCCCAGTTTTTCCCAGCCTTTACAATCTCAACTTCTTACATTGTTGCCAAGTACACAAATATCCTTGTTCCTTGTTATAGGATTTCACATGTCCAGAAGTGACTCCCCACAACTGGTAAAAGGATAGACAAAATATACTTCTCAGTAATTTATTTACATGGTTCCATAATGAGACATTTCTCATTTATATGTATATTTTATTGTAATATTATCAAGTTCTAGATAAAAATTTGGAAAATTTTTTATAGAAATTCTATGTAGAATTGCCAGTCCATGTTTTTTTTCTCCTAGATGTTAATGTAATATACTGATTCTACAGTTAAGACCAAGTGAAAAGGTTACATAGAAACCAATTGCAGTGGTTTTAGCCAATGACACATTAACCATAAAGTAAAGGAACAAACTACAGCAACATGTAGCAGCATAAATGAATCTTACAAACATAATGTTGAACAAAAAAGATAAGGCAAAGGAACATATACAGTCAATGCAACAAGGCAAGAAAAAGAAATAAAATGCATAAGATGGGAAAAGAGGTAATAAAACTGTTACTATATGTATATGACAATTAAATTTTCATACAAACTATTAGAAAAAAGTGAATTTATCAAGGTTGCTGGATATAAAGTCAGTAAACAAAAATAATGTTTCCATATGCTAGCAAAGAAAGAAGTGAAAATGAAATTAAAAATATCATTTATAATAGCATCAAAAACATCAAATATTTAGTAATAAATCTTGTTAAAGATGGTCAAAACTTCAAAAAAATTGCTGAGTAAATTTGAAGAGAGACTAAATGGATAGTTTTTTATATTCAGTCTTCTTCAGACTGATCTATAGATTCGGCGTAATCTCCATCAAAATACCATCAATAGTTTGTTTAAAATGAAAAGTTGATTATAAGGTTTATGTATATGAGAATGCAAAGGACCTAGAATAGCCAAGATAGTTCTAAAGGAAAAAAATGTTGGAGAATTTACCCTACTAAAGAGCAAGACTTACTATAAAGCTATCTTAATTAAGGAGGTGTTATTGGTGCAATGATAGACAAATAGGCCAATTGAATAGAAAGTCTACGGCCATGCCACCTTGAACAAGCCTGATCCCATCTGATCTCGGAAGCTAAGCAGGGTCGGGCCTGGTTAGTACTTGGATGGGAGACCACCTAGGAAGACCAAGTGCTGTAGGTGTAAAAAATAAGGGATTGTAAACTGACAAGGTCCTTGCAATCTGTGAGGTCAACCAAGGGTTGCCTCGCCTAAAAGAAAGAAAGAATGGAAGGAAGGGAGGGAGGGAGGAAGGGAAGGAATGAAGAAAGGAAAGAAAGAAAAGAAAGAAAGTTAATTCAGAAAGAGACCTGCATTTACAGTTCAATACAATATGCAATATATGCAGTAATATAATTCAGTGAGGGAAAGAATAGTCTTTTCTGCAATTGGTGCTAGGTCCGTTGGATATTCATATGGGAAACACATGGACCTTGACACCTACCATACGTCATACACAAAAATTAATTGAAGATATATCATAGGCCTAAAGGTAAAACAATAAAGCTTCTAGGAGAAAACAGAAGAATATTGTCATAACTTTGAGACGTACAAATATTTCTTAAATGGGACAATAGGACTGCTAACCATAAAAGATACATAAATTAGACTGCGTAAGAATTAAGAACGTCATCAAAAGATACCATTGAGAGAATGAAAATGCAAGGCATAGACTGGGAGAAAATACTTTCCACCACATATATTTGACAAAGGACTAGTACACATCAATAAGAAAGAGAGACAAACCAATTTAAAACTGGGCAAAAGACTTGAACAGACACTTACTATGCAATCCAAATAGCAATAAACACATGAAAGGTTTTCAATATTGTTAATCATCAGGAAAATGTAATTTTAAAATGGCTAAAATTTTAAGACTTGACAATCCCAAGTGTTGACGATGCGGAGCAACTGAAACTTCCTTACATCGATGATGGGAGGATAAATTGGTATTACCTCTTTAGAAATTAAACAGTTTTTTTCTAAAGTTAAAGATATGCACATTTTAGAAGGTCAGCAAAAGAAGAGGCACCAAAGAGAATCTAGGATGACTGTTGAGACAGGAAAAAAAAAAAAAAAGAGTGTAGTGTCCTAGAAGCTAAGAAAAGATAGGCTAGTTGGGAAAAATTCTTATGTGGACTGCTGCTGAGGAAGTGTTGTCAAAGTGGATTATGGAGATGTGTCAGTCAGAAAGACACTAAGAGAAAATCTGAAGTGTAAGCCCTTTTCTTGGTACCTTGAAAACATCTCTCCAGACTCTCAGATCCCAAAATGTTATTACTCGCTTGGTGAGATAAGAAATGTTGAAACCAATCAATGTTTAGACAACATGGGCTGCAAGGAAAATGAAAAAGTGGGCATATTCAACTGTCATGGTATGGGAGGAAATCAGACTCAATGGACCTATTGTCATGTTAAAATACCACCGAATGAGAGAAAATCAGTTATGGGAATATGATGCCGAGATACTCACCTTGAGACATTAACAGTAACCAATGTCTTGATGAACCTTCTGAAGAAGACAAAATGGTGCCTACCCTGCAGGGCTAGTGGAAGCAGATCCTAACAGTAACTGCTAAGGAACATGACTTTGGGGGCATGAAGACTTTTCCCCCAAGCCATGAATGTGTCTACACTTGTTTTTGCATTATTTCAATTAAGGAAAAATGTTAACTTTACTGAATTGAAATATTTAAAATCCTTTTAGTATTCTAGTACATGTGCTGCCAAAGCAAGCACGTAAAATCCTTTTAGTATTCTAAAACACAGTTCTTTATAATTCATTTTTAGGAATGTTGCTTATTTCCCTACTAAAATTTGTATCTGATCAAAAGCACATAAAAGTATAAATAATAGCAAACTGTTATTAGACATCAGAAAAACTTAAGAAATAGGAAAAAAAAAGATATGCTTACGCTGTGGTCCAGCATTTCCACTCCTAGGCATATATACAATAGAAAGGCATATGTAGAACTACTCAGAACAGCTTTGTAATAGTTAAACTCAGAACTATTTGTAATAGCTAGAAATTGAAACCAACTCTAATACCCAACAATAGAATAAATAAATATATTCCGATATATTCTACTAATTCAGTGTAATACTAAATAGAATGAAAAAGAACAAACTACAGATACACATAACAATATGGATGAATCACAACTATAATGCTGAATGAAAGAAATCAGATATAAAAGAGTATGTATTATGATTCAATTTATGCGATGTTCCCAAACAGGCAAACCTAATCTCTGGTGTTAGAAGTCAGAATAGTGGCTACTGTTGGTGGAAGATTTCTGATAGAGAGTGAGGGTGAGAGAACTTTCTATGTTCCTGGGTATGGGAATAGGACAATTTAGAATGACACAAGGCTCACTGTTCTTACTGGGATTCAGCCATTTTTCTTGAATAAATCCTTGGATTGTTGAAAGCCTTTAGTTAATCTACAGAATTCTAAAAGAGTTGAATTTGACTATTTCTGCCCATGTTTTTTGTTGCTTTTATGGAAGAGTGGATTTTCAAAGATTCTTAAGTCATTCCCACTGACGTCACTTTATTTCACCTTTATAGTATGTCTTAATCCGTTCAGGCTGCCATAATAAAATACCATAGACTGGGTGGCTTAAACAACAGGAATTTATTTTCTCACGGTTCTAGAGGCTGGAAGTCTATGATCAGCATGCCTGCAGGGTTAGGTTTTGTTGAGGACTCATTTCCTGGCTTGCAGATGGCCACCTTCTCCTTATGTCCTCACTGTGTTCCTTGGTGTATGTGCACAGAGAGAATGCAATCTTCTTAAGGTCACCAGTCCTATCAGATTAGGACCACGTCATCACGATCTCATTTAACCTAACTTACCTTCTAAAAGCTCTATCTCCACATATAGTCAAATTAGGGTTTAGGGATTCAGTATGTGAATTTGGGGAAGACAGTTCAGTGCACAGCACAATACATCTCAATTTGGATTAGCCCCATTTCATGAGGTCATAAAACATCTGGCTTCTAGGTACTGCGTTGAACAGAGCTGTCCAATAATTGTACTGGTAGCACACTCCTAAGTAATGAAAGATTTGTGGCATTTTTAATGGGGCAAAAACAAGAATTTATTATAATTGCTTTAATTAATATTATTTTGAGAATGGAAAAGATTCTTTGAAGCTCTTATAAGTGCTGTGGTTAAAAGACACTAATCTAGTGCATGATTTGGATCTCACATTCACTTGGGTGACCAGCAGCTATAATGAGATGGCCTTTGCTCAACTAGCCAGCAGTGACTATACACATTTTAAAAAATTTATTTATTTAAATTAGTTTCAAGTGATTACACACATTTTTGAGGCCATTGTGACAGGAGGGTGGCTACAGTGTGTATCTTGTGATGTAAAAGCACCTTAAGGGTTTTTAACTTTATTAAGCTTTAAACTCAAAGTAAAACTGATATAGATTTTAAAAGCTTACATGATATTTAAAATTGCTTTAAATTATAAAAATAAGGCATACTCATGTTAAAAAAAAAAAAAATGAATATAGAGCCTACAAACTAAAAGCAATAATACTCTCCCAGCTCCACTGGTCCTACTTTCAGAGGACATAAATATTAGGAATCTTGCTTTTCAATGTAGAGTTTTAGTGGAAATTTCAAGAAAAAAAAATTGAAGTTGCTTGGAGAATATTCACAAGCAAACATTTCACTGCCGTTTTTACTTTTTCTTAGATTTCTGCTCCTAATGAATTTGATGTTATGTTCAAACTGAGTCTCCCCAGAATTGAGCTTCAAGAATATGGCGACAGTGGTGCTCATTACTTTGTGAAGTTCAAAAGAAATCCCAAAGGAAATCCTCTAAGACAGTTTTTAGAAGGAGAATTTTTATCAGCTTCTAAAATGCTGTTGAAGTTTAGGGAAATCATTAAAGGAGAAATTAAAAATATTAAAGGTAAGATTTTTGACTTTTTTTTAATTTGAAAAGAACAATTTTTTAAATTAAGGTTATTGGGGTAACACTGGTTAATACAATTATATAATTTTCAGGTGTACATTATATGTATTTTTAAATTAAGTTTATTAGGGTAACATTGCTTAATATAATTATATAATTTTCAGGTGTACATTATAAGATTTTTGACTTTCAATTTTTAAAGTTTTATTCATACCTACCTACTTCTTGCCAGTGTACCTTCCTCTCCTGATCTTTTCAGACCACCCCGCAGCACAGCTCTGACTACTGCTTCCTAGAAACAACTCTTTGCCCTTGATTTTAGTCTACTACATTTTCTTGGTATTCTTCCTAAATGTTGACTGGTTCTATTTTGGTCTCCATTGAATATTCACAAAAAAAAAAGAACATATGGTTGAATAAAATCAGGAGATCCCCTCTTGAAGCTTGTAAACACAAATTGCAGTGAGTGCTCTGAAGGGAATGAACTGGGAGAAGTGGTAGTGATTGGGAGAGAGTGGGGTGGTGGAGCAAGGCCATGAGACAGAAAGTTTGGCAAGATCAAGGAACAAAAAGAGGCTCATGTGAACAAGGGGAAGAGTGACATAAAATGAAGTTGAAGAAGTGGTCAGGGACCAAATTCTGCAAGGACTTGTAGATTCTGGAAAGGAATTAAGATTTTATTCCATGTTCATTGAGAAGCCAGGTTTTAATTAGGGAGTAATGATTGGCCTTGTTTTTTAAAAGTTTACTATGGCTTCTGTGGAGAAGATATTATATGAAGGCAAATAAGGAGATTAGAAAGGAAAATATTATAATAGTTCAGATGAAAGATGGAGGTGGGGATGGGGTGATGGGATGGAAAGAAGCTGACACATCCAAGCTGTAGCAGTGCTTACTTTCAGATTAAGTGTAGGGGTGAGAGAGAGGATTGAATTGAATAAGGCTCCAGATTTCTGGATTGAGCACCTGTGTAGATTGATTGTGCTATATTCCAAGATGGGAAGGACAGAGGAGAAACACATTTTGGGGACTGAATTAAGAGTTATGTTAAATTAGAGATTCCTATGATATGTTAAAGTGAATGTGCCAAGTATGTAGTTGGGTATAGGTTTGGAGTTCAGAGGATACATTTGGACTGCATGTGAACACAGAAGTGACATTAGGAATGGATAAGATCATCTAGGCAGAGAGTAGAGATTCATTTATTTATTAATTTAATCAACATTCACCGATTGTCTAAAGTGACAGATGTTCTAGACCAGCGGTCCCCAACCTTTTTGGCACCAGGGACCAGTGCTCCTGTGAGAATCTAATGCCTACTGATCAGAGGTGAAGCCGAGGCAGTGCTGCTAGTGCTGGGGAGCGGCTGCAAACACAGATGAGGCTTTGCTCGCTTGCCTGCTGCTTACTATGCAGCCAGGTTCCTAACGGGCCACAGACTGGTACCAGTCCACGGTCTGAAGCTTGATACCAGTCCATGGCCTGTGGCTTGGGGACCCCTGCTCTAGATGTTTTGGATTTATTAGTGAACAAATAGATGTAGACCCTCACTCTTCTGTACTTCATGATCATATAAGCATGATGTTTTGATATCCATATACATAGTGAAGTGATTTCCATAGTCAAGCTAATTAACATAACATCTCACATAGTTACCTTTGTGTGTGTGTGGTGAGAGTACCTGAAATCTACTCTCTTAACACACTTCCAGTATTCGATATAATGGTTTTAATGACAGTCATCATGCTGTACATTAATCTCTAGACTTGACTTACCTAACTGCAACTTTGTTCCTTTTGACCAGCATCTCCTCATTTTCCCCACCTCCCCACCCTTGGTAACCACCAGTCTACTCTCTGCTTCTGTGTATTCTACTTTTTTAGATTTCACATGTAAGTGAGATTATTTGGTATTTGCCTTTCTGTGTCTGTCTTATTTCCTCCAGGTTCATCCATGTTGTCACAAATGGCAGGATCTCTTTCTTTGTTAAGGCTAAAATTGTTAAGGCTAAATAAAATTGTTAAGGCTAAATAATATACCATTGTATATGCAGGCATACCTTATTTTATTGTGATTCACTTTATTATACTTCACAGATAATTCATTTTTTACAAATCAAGATTGTGGCAGCCCTGCGTCGAGCAAGTCTGTCAGTGCCATTTTTCCATCAGGCTCAGATGATAGTTAGCATTTTTTAATAAAGTATTTTTTAGTTGAGGTATGATGCTATTAGACATGATGCTATTGCACATTTAATAGACCACAGTATAGTGCAAATATAACTTATATGCAGTGAGAATCCAAAAAATTCATGCGATACACTTTATTTAACTATTTGCTTTATTGCAGTGGTCTGGGACTGAACCACAATATCTCCGAGATATGCCTGTATATACCACAATTTCTTTATCCATTCATCCATCAATGGACACCTAGGTTGTTTCTGTGTATTGGCTATTGTGAATGATGTTTCAATGAATATGAGTTGCTCCCTGTGTCTTGATGGTCACTGCCTCAAAGCACCCCGACCCTCTTGTGTTGAGCTACTGCTGTGGGGTTTTTTTTTTTTCTGTTGTGTTGTCCTTTATGGTCTTCTTGATCGTCTTTCTCCTTGCTGCCTCTCATCTGGCCTCTTCTACAGGCTTTCCTCCAAAATCCCTTGCATCAATTTAAATGAAAATTTAATCAAAGCACTCCCATACCCCAAAGTCTTCAGGGGCTTTTCATCATATATACCAGACAGAATCTTGACAGTGCCTTCCCCCGTGATAGATATTAATAAATATTGATTAAATGAGTAAAACACTTTGCCTTAGGGGTCAGTTTCCACTTTAGAGCTAATTTCACCTTAGCATTTATAGATCTCCAATTATAGTTACATTATTTTTCCTATATTTTCAAGAAAATTAGATTGACAAACCCTTTTTTCTCTTTTATATGTTTAAACAGATACAGATATCAAAATGGAGAGGAAGAAGAGAGGGAGCCCTGCTGTAACACTTCGTATTACAAAACCTAAAGTAATATCTGTGGATGTAATCTTGGCATTGGAAGCAAAAGCCAACTGGCCACCTAGCACCCAGGAAGGCTTGCCCATCAGTAACTGGCTTGGAAGAAAAGTTAGGAGAAGTCTAAGACAGGAGCCGTTTTACCTGGTACCCAAGCATGCAAAGGAAGGAAATGATTTTCAAGGTATCTTGAATATGAAGGTTGATTTAAAGACATAAAGAGTTGTTAATGTTATATATATACTAGGGCATTAAAAGATCAACTGGCATTTCAAGAGCCATCGGACTAAATAGGCTATAAGGTGGGAGTTTGGTGAGAGATGGAGTTGAAAAGGGCATAGTTGTAGTAGTAATATCAAATACCCAGCTTTCAGATGTCTGCTAACCTACATAAGAACGTTATCTTTTATGTTTGTTTTTAATAAGGAAGGCGTTGGAGTCAGACTGCTCTGGATCTGAACCCTGAGGCTTCTTCTCACTCACTACCTGTGTGATCTTGGGCTAGTTACCAAGCTGCTCTAAACCTGTTTGCTCATCTATATGCTAATTTAAGACTACTTGAAAGGTTCTGGAAGATAAAAATGAGACAGTATATGCAAAATCCCTACTTCAGTTTATAGCAGTTATATATTATTAATGAACATCAGAGACTGGACTCTCTTCCCCAGCCACATTTTTCTCTTCATCTTCCCCTTCCGCTGCTCCCCGTGTAGCTAGCAGACCTTTGCAGCCTCAGCTGCAGTTGAACACAGGTGGTCAGGTTTCCTTCTCACCTGTGTACCGTAGCCTCAGGGGTCAGGACAGATTTTCAGGTGGGGTTCTTGAGTAACAGTCAAGTTCCAAAAACTGAGCTGAGTTAGTTCACAGATAAGACTGAATAATGGTGATGTTTTCTCAAGTGGCAGAAAAAATTAGCTGGTTATTTTCTTTTTCTCTCATAAACTTATATAATGAGTTTTGGTATTTACTGCTGTTGGACTCCAGTAAAATTGGAGGGGACCACAAAACAAATGAACCAAGTTATAAATGAGTATTACTGAACAAATCCTAGAAATAGTCATGCTTAGTTTGATGGCTTATGTTTTTGTGGACGCACATTGTAACTTTTTATATTGCATATATATATAGGAGTCATTTTCTGCAAGAAAAGTTGTTCATAAGAAGGAATTACACATTTCATTATTCATGGTTTTGTAAAAAGAACATAGCTTTCTGCAAGTGGCGTTTTACTCCCTGAACAATTTCTAGAATGGCTCCCCAAAGAAATCTCACAGGACCCATACCACCCTCACAGGACCCATACCATCCTCTTGCTAGCCCTCTACCAACCATCTTGGGGAAGACTGGTAGACAAATCAGCTTAGAGATGAGAGTTTTTCATTGGCCCTGTGGCTGGTGAAAGTGGAGGCTGGTGATGGGTGCTCAGCTGACCTCTGCTCTCTGTTACCCGTGGCTGTTCTCCATCTCCCATTATTCCAGATTACTATCTATATTGAGGCAAAACCTTGCCTGTATATGTGCGTGTGTATGTACCTGAGTGACTGAACAGAGGGGCATATTAATAATGAAAATACTTGTACTAGTTTGGAGACACTTATTACACCTACTTTAGCTTTCCTCTTTCTAAACATTTTACTAGGAATTTTCCTAGTCTCACAAGTTAAATTTTTAAAAATATAATTTGTTTGATTTCCAATTTAAAATTTCAAAAATTTTAAAATCTTTCTACTTGTTTCAAAATAATACCACTATTATTACCAAGAGTATACTTATAAAAACAAGTTGAAGATTTCTTTGCCATTTTTTTATTAAAGGTAAAAAAACAGTCAAAATACCCTAACCTCAGTTGAGAAAATTTCTCTAGCTGGTTAAGCTACCCACCTCAACATAATTAAATTAGTTTGTTTCATTATGATTTTTGGTTTTAAATTTTGATTTAATTTTGTTTCATAAGTTTATAAAACATTCACATGTTTCCAAAGTCAAAGCTACAGAAAAAGGTATTCTTAGAAAAACAGCTTCCATTCATGTTTCCTGCAGTGTTCAGTCCTTCCCTGATCAGAAATTCTTTTGTTTTTGGTTTTCCTTTTATTAAAAAAAAAAAATAATAAGTAAATACTTATATATTTGCATGTATGTATATATATGCTACCCCCTTTTTTAAGATAAAAAAGTATACTTTCCTTTTTTCACTTAATAAGATAATGTGGTATCATTCCATAGCTCTGTATAGAAATAGCACCCATTCCTTTCCACAGTATATTTTTACAGCTGGTCAAGGAGTAAATCTATATGTAATTTTCCTAGATAATGCCAAAATTGCCTCCATAGGGAATTGCACCAATGTGCATTCCCACAACAACATATGAGAGTACTTGATTTACCCTCAGCCTTATCAACAGAACTCGTTAAACTTTGGAATTTTTGCCAGTAATCTGAAAAAGTGCGAAATGATATTTCAATGTAGTTTTTTTTTAAAAAAATAAACTTTTAGTTTTAGAATAGTTTTATATTTACAGAAAAATTGCAAAGGTGGTACAGAGAGTTCCCATGTGCCTTATACCTGTTTTCCCATTATTAACATTTTACATTAATTGAATACATTTGTCACAATTAATGAACCAATATCAATGAGATAATAACTAAAGTTCTTACTTTATCCAGATTTCCTTAGTTTTTTCCTAATGCTCTTTTTCTGTTCCAGGTACCACATTACATTTAGCCATCCTGCCTACCTAGGCTCCTCTTGACTAACAGTTTCTCAGTTTTGTTTGTTTGTTTTTGATGACCTTGACAGTTTTGGGGAGTGCTAGTCAGGTATTTTGTAGAATGTCCCTCATATGGCATATGTCTTATGTTTTTCTTATGATTAGACTGGAGTTCTGGGCTTTAGCAAGGAAGACCAAAGAGGTAAAGTGCCATTTTCATCACATCATATTAAAAGTACATGCCATGGACATGACTTAGCACTGTTGATGCTGACCTTGATCACCTGGCTGAGGTAGTTGTCAGGTTTCTCCACTGTTAGTCTTTCCCCCACTTTTCCTACTATACTGTTTGGAAGGAGGTCACTGTGCTCAGCTCACACCTAAGGAGTGGGGAGTTATGCTCCACCTCTTTAAGAGCAGAGTATTTACACAAATTATTTGGAATTCTACATGGGAGATTTGTCTCTTCTCCATTTATTAATTTAATAATTTATATCAATATGGACTTATGAATATTTGTTTTTTAAACTTGGGCTATATTCCAATACTACTTTATTGATTTTATTGCTTCAGTTATTCCAGCTTTGGCCTTTAGGAGCTCTTTCAATTGGCTCCTATGTCCTTTGGACTTACCCCCCATAATTATGGGGTTTTTCTTTGCTTTTTTGTTTTCTGCACCAAATCATTTGTTTTCTGCACCAAATCATTTGCTCCAGGTTCATCTTGTATATTTCCTGCATCAGTCCTAAAACCAGCCATTTTTCCAAGGAGTCCTGAATCCTTTTACTGGAGAATGTACTAGAAACCAAGATCTGGGTGCTGTGTGTATTTGTTCCATTACTAGGGTATCAACTGTCTCAGCTGAAGAAATAAGGAAATATATGTATGTGTACTAACCCCAGTGTATACACATATCTATGAATATTTTTATATGTAACCACCTGTATCTATCTTTAGTTATACCGGAGTTCATACTATCTCTAATTATAATCCATTACTACATGGATCATTCTTTCTCTTCTTGCTCTCTGTAACCTCTCATTCTTAACAGTGAAAAACCTGACACCCACATCTGCCACCCATTTACTTAATTGTTCAGTTCCCCCCCATGGGAAACAATTACCAACTACAGTACAACTCCTTTTACCTTCAGTTTTACAGACCCCATTTTCAAAGTAATTTAGGTCAGTACCTTTTACCCCTATCCCTTTTAGGAAGATTGTAATAAGAGTCCCTTTTTACAGCCTGCATTATTTCCTAGGATCTCTTGACCTCCTAATTTTTTTTAAGTTTGTGTATGTTAAGGTTTATTCTTTGTGCTATAAAGTTTTGCTGGATTTGACAAATACATTGTATCTTGTATCGATTCTTATATAATAGTTTCACTGCCCTAAAAAAATCCCCTGTATTTCAGTTATTCAACCCTCCCCATCCGAAACTCCTGGCAACCACTGATACTGGTAGGGCAAGTTCTCCCACTTTGTCCTTCTTCAAGAGTGTTTTTGATATTCTTGTCCCTTTGTATTTTCATTAAAATTATGGTATCATCTTACCAAGTTCCACAAAAATACTTTTTAGAATTTTTATTGAGAGTACTTTGAATCTATAGATAAATGTGGGGAGACTTGATGTATTTACAATAATGAGTCTTCCACTTCATGGACAAGGGGCACATCTTTATTTAGATCTCCTTAATACATCTCAGTGAAGTTTGAGTTTTCTCTACAAGTTTTATATATCTTTTGTTAGATTTACTCATAGACAATTGCAACATTTTAGTATAAAAATATTAAACCAATAGAAAAGTAGACTGAAAAATATACTGAACTCATGCATACCTGTCACCCAGCTTCTTTTGTATTTTCTACCTATGCAAATTGTATCATCTAGTAATAATGATGGCCTTGTTTCTCCCTTTCCAATGCTATAATCCAGTTTTACCGTCCCTTACTATGCTTGATAGGATAGCCAGTGCATGTTGAATAGAATAGGGACAGCAGACATCCTGTCTTCCTGATTTCAAAGGAAAAAACTAAACTTTTTACTTTATATTATCAAATTATGTGTTTTAGAAGTCTTTCCTCAGATCAAATTCCCATCCAGATTTAAATTACTGAGAGGTGTTTTTTTTAATGATGAATGAATGCTGAATTTTATTAGCTGCATATTGTTTCTTTTGAGATGATTATACGTTTCTCCTTGATTCTGTTAATGTGACAGATTATATTGATTGATTTTTAAATTATAAATCAATTGTGCATTCCTGGTATAAAACCAATTGGGAAATAGGATAGTCTGAGTTTAAAAGAGCTAGTCATGGTAAAACTTGGGGATAAGGGAGGAAATCATTCTATTCTTGCACAATCTCTCAAAGAATAGGAAGAAAGGAAATATTTCCTAGTTCATTTTACATGAATATCAAAATTTGCAAGAATGGTATAAAAATTTTTGAATCCATTGATTCAAATTATTACTGAAACATTTTTTTAAATTAAGTTTATTGGTTAATACAATTATATAATTTGTATTATATAATTATATAATTTGTATTATATAATATTGGTTAATACAATTATATAATTTTCAAATGTACATTAAAATTTGACTATTATGTATTTACCACCCAAAGTCCAGTTTCCTTCAGCTACCATATATTTGATCCCCTTTACCCACTTCACCCTCCCCCTAATCCCCTATATTTGATCCCCTTTACCCTGTCTA